AATACACGGATATACGGAAATGGCTGCTCCGACATCTACGCCCTTCTTCTGGTTTGGCTACTTGTGTGTCGTCGTGTTTGTGTCTGCAGGTGAGAAACAAAAAACAACATTCCTCTTTAACATAGTATGAGCCAGAGTTATTTAACAATACATTATTTAAATACTATCCATACCGATCATGTTTGAAACACTGGCGCTTATCTCTGTGATCGAAACTATTCTCGGTACGCCTGGAAACAGAAGTGCAGGCGGACTAATGCTGACGCCGTTTCTGCGAATAACGAAGTCAGACTTTCGCTTATAAAGTGAAAATATAATAAGTGTTGTTTTTTTTAAATGAGCGCGACTCTTCTACACTTATCTGCAGCCGTGATCAGAGTCGAGCTGGTTGCATTCTCTAAATACTGAAAACAAAAGCTGCACTACTTCCTTTATTGTCTTTTTTAACAGGTAGAACTCTGAAACATCGTTTATGAAAGGAGATGGGTTAATATTGTCCTCACAGTTCATAGCAAACGTGACCATCAGACCAAATGATCAAGATAACTAAGATTCCTTAGTAATTCTCAGAGTAACCAAAATTATAATTTTATTTTTGCATTTAATTCCTTCAGTGCAATAATGTCACTGTGGTCAGTGTGACTAAACCTCTGTTCTATATTTAAATGACAGCATCTGCAGTTCAGTCTTTTTAATGTTTTACCCAAAACATTTTCGTCCAAGGGATGATGTCAGCGTTTTACTGGGACAGTCATCAACAACACAATAAAGTGTGACTTTTAATTCAAGCTTTCCTTTGAAAATTCATGTATTAAAAAATGCAACCAATACACATAAACAGGTTGTGTAGTGTAATAGAAGAAATCAACTTGTTGAGCAAAAGGAAAGAAGAGCTCTTTGTAGAAACAAGGTCAAATATGTGAATCAGGGGTTTAGTTTTCAATAGAAACTAAACAGAAAACACTTTTTCATTCGTATTTATAATATTAGTTGTCATCAACTAATAATTTCACTTTTTAAAATCAAAATGTAAACTCAGTAAAGCTAATCAAAGCTGTGAGATTAAGGAGTATAGAGTTAAAATAAGCCACCCAAATACACTACAGGTAACTTCAAATAGTACCTAAGTAAGTTAACTAAATCTACTATATCTATTAAGTTACATTCAGCTTCCCACAGCATATATTTATTTTAATATATTTATTTCAATTTAAACATGCAGAAACATGCAGAAAAATGATCTTACTCTTAGTCACCACAGGTCAAATGTCAAAAACTCTTCTACTGCTTATTTTACTGAAGACTGGGGTGTTTTGTGTCACAAAATATGTATATCAATTAAAAAATTGATAAAATAAGGGTTAGTGTAATCACCAGAAATGTGCTTTGTTGTTTGAGAACAAAACTAGAGTTAATATTTTTAGAGGTTTAAAGGATATTAATAATAGTAACATAATAGTAATTGGTCATTGGTATGTATAAATGATCATAAGCTTATAAGAGATGGCATTTATTACAGCTTAATGACATCAACACAAATATACTAATTTATAATAGCTATTGTATTTGTTAAAGATAACACGTTTTTTGTTTATGACTCAGTGCTGTCATTGAGCAATTAAACGATAACTTTACTATTGTAAAAGTGTGTTTGTAATACAGTATGTTATAGATTCTGTATTAAAAAGATTCTCTTTTAGTGTGTACTCAGTGTAGAGCTCAAGCCTCTCTTTTTGCTTCATCTCAATCTGATCTGCTATAGATGTATGTTATATGTTAATGTTATAATTGTTGCTATAATCAATTATATATATAATCAATTATATACATTTATAAATGTTGCTATAATCTCAATCTGCTATAGAAGTGAAAAGTTGTACTAAAACTTTTCATCTGTGTTGTTTCCTCTTTCAGACCAGAAAATCATCACAGCTCCATCTGGGCAGAACATCAGTTTGCCCTGTCGAGCTCCAAACAACAACATAGTTGTAGTAGAGTGGAGCAGAACTGTGCAGAATAAAGAATATGTCTTTTTGTATCGGGATGGGCAGTTTGTTTCTGAACAGCAACATGAATCTTATGTTAACCGGGTGGATCTGCAAGACAGACAGATGAAGGACGGAGACGTGTCTTTGATTCTGAAGAATGTGACGACTGCTGATATTGGAAAATACGAGTGCCGTGTCTTCATGGGAGAAACAAATCGCGGGAACAGTGAGCTCATCAGCACCATCACACTGAGTGTTGTTGATCCTCCAGGTGAGTGAG